GAACCCAGATGATATCACCTTCCCCCAATAGGGCCGGAGACACTATCTCTCCCCCCACCTGCTGGGCACGTGCTTCTCCTTTGAAACGGTAAACCCCTCGGATTGATTCCTTACGGTCGGTGTCATCGCGTCCTCTGCCTTCTTCACGTCCGTCATTGACGGAAGAGAAGAGCGTAAAACGAGTGAGCGAGGGAGGGGAACAAAAGGGGCGTGGGAAGATGACTTTATTGACCTCATGATAGGCATTCATTCGTTCCACGTGCCCAGCGTCACAATATGTGCGGTTCGTAAAGTTTCCTAGCTTATTGGTCGGCTCGTTGGAGTGATCTTGCTCGAGCAATCGCCCCCGAGACCAAAGCCCATTCTGTTCTAATCTACGGCCTGTATTGAGGCCCAAGGGGCTGTAAAGTGAGGGTGAGAGGGATTCTCGTTCATCTCTTTCACCGTCTTTCCCTGACTCCCTCGGTGCAGAATAGATTGCCCCTAGGACTCCTCAGATGCAGAAAGTGAAAAGGGAAAAGTGTCGTTCCTCCATTCCCGTAAACGGGTGCTTGAACTCGGTGGCTTGAAATTCGAGGCCAGGTTGGGTTTCTGCTCCATTTTCCCCCTCTCCTTCGGGCCCCGCAAGATAAATGAGAACTTCGAACTCTCTTTCTCTTGTCCACCCTTCTGACCCTCCGCAAAAAAAGGGGGGGAAGGAGGGCGCGGGAATTTAGGGGAAAAAGGAGAGGGTCCGTCTTTGGGCTCATTTGGCCGCCCCCCCCCCCCCCCCCCCCCCCGCCCCCCTTACCTCCTCCATTGAGAACCACATTCTAAAAGACAATAAACGAGATTCATTAAGGAGGGGGTTTGAGCACTCCCCCCCCCCCCCCCCCCCCCCCCTCCCCTCCCCTTCTCTCTCTCACTCTCTCTCATATAGATTCTCAGACTCGCCTCTCGTATGCAGTATGCATTTTTCCATTGCTCGAGAACTCCTGCTTTCCCTTTATGATTATTGCAAGTAAATAGGGGGTGGTTGACTCGGATGATTGATTTTTATCCTATGCTGGAGGAAATGACTCTCGTACCAAATAATCGACCTGGACTGAATCCAGATATCGTCTTCACTTGCCGGACTAGAACGCATCTGACGAGAATCCTTGCTCGAAGGGGAAGACTACCTTGCCGTACCGTGGAGTCGTGCGGGTCGGGGAACCTTTCAGGTAGTTTTCCCTTTTGGGAGAAAATGCAACAAATCTTGTTGTGGACCTTCGATCTCCACTGGCTTTTTCGCCTTCGGAGTAATCTATTTCGCCTTTAGAAAGAACTGGTAATGGATATTTGTCAGAGCCGACTTAAAAAGCAATAAATTGCACTCAAATTGATATATATAACTTGTTTTCTGAGGAACTATAACTTATGTGAAAACTTCTGGCGTGTGAAATTGTCAAGTATTGGTGTATGATCATATCGTCGATGTTCGTCGAAAAAAGAGTTATCATACAAATTAGAACATTTTCAGGCGAACGAGACCTATCATCTAACAGATTGAAGAATAACAAGCAACATGCGCCTTTGAGCTGATTCTCCATGCTTCCTGGTGCAAAAAAAAAGTATTCAATCTGAAGAAAGGGCGTTTTCTTGGTCTCATGAGAAGTTTTGGAAATGCATATTCCCCCTTTTCAGATGATCAACGATGTGCTCTTTCAAATCCATGTTCGGTCTACATACGTTGATTAATGACTTAATAGAAGCCTTCTGGTTTTACATGTGTCTTCTTTATGTATTTTTGGAAGCGTAAAAGAGCATCTGAATATGTGATTACGAATGCTCGAAAAGAGTGCAAAACATTATGCCTCTTGAATAATTATTTTTCAAGATAAACGCATACAAAGTTTGAGAAATCCATTTTGAGAAAACAGCCGGAATGTAAAACAAGATTTTTCCATCTCATATTTGCTTTTATACCATCGGCTCAAAAATATTTAAAAACTGCTAAACAAACTCATTAAAGGTAGGAATGTAAAAAAAAGTCATTCTGGCATTTATGGAGAATCCATATTATGCAAAATGTTATAAATATAATTGTAGTACTTGTATTTCTTACATACTTTCGAGTTCAAATATCAAAAGTGTACTTTGCAAAGGGATTTACCTAAGTCAGAGTTACAATAACTAGTAATAGGTACAAAACACCCAAGATGCACCCCAATGGGAGATTGTCTAAACTCATTCGTCAGTGGGGAGACGTGAAATAAGAGGGGTCGGAAATCGCAACAATATGCGAATTCATTGTGTAGAGTTCTGTGCTGAGGGGGCGAGTTGAACTCGGCATTTGCATGTAGAATTTATAAGGTTGTGACATATGGTCTTCTAATCCCTGGCGTGAGAGATCAACGATCGGATTTCAGTTCCGTGCGGCTATTCGGAATGTCCAGAGGTGCGAGATCGGAGGCAAAGAGCCGGGAAGATTTTTATCGACGGTTGATTCCAAAGCACTATCGGAAGTAATTATTTTCAATAAACACCTAGTAGTTATTTTGAACTTTCCCTAGGCGAGGAACCATAGAGAATAATAACGATGACAGCAAAATCTTGGTTCTATTATTGCCCATAGCACTGAACGCAATTTGTGACCCCGCGAAAACGGAAGGAACGATCAGAACGATAGGAAAACGTTTCCTTCCGTTGGCGAAACTCCAGCAACAACCAGAAGCGTATGGAATGCTACCAATTGTTATGCTCTGCCCTGTCTTCTGTTGACAATATCAATCCAAATTGCAAAAATGAGGGGGAAAATCGGCAGACAAAAATTTCATTTTTCGGAATACTTGCGTGTTATTCAGATATATACCGTGACTTTCAAATTCCTAGCTGCAACGCTTTTCCTGTTTCGATTTCCGTTTTTAGTTCTGCCATTTTGATGGAAATCCAGCCCATCCATTGAGCCCTGGACAAGGGGGGGGGGGGGGGGGGGGGGGGGGGTTCAACAGAAGACAGGGCAGAGCATAACAATTGGTAGCATTCCATACGCTTCTGGTTGTTGCTGGAGTTTCGCCAACGGAAGGAAACGTTTTCCTATCGTTCTGATCGTTCCTTCCGTTTTCGCGGGGAGGGAGGGGGGCCCATTGTCGCGGCAGTGCAATACAAACGAAACCGGGGCAGAATTAGGTTTAGGTTGCTTTTGCAAGAAAAGGGTTCAACGGGTGGGTGGATGGGGGGGAGGGGTTAGAGGGGGTGGGGGATGCTCTATTTTCCGAAGAGGCTGGAGCAGATAGGGCAGATGCTTCCGGCCCCCAGGTGGTCTAAAATAGGTCGATATAGTTGCCTGCCAGCCCTGCAACGGACACATGAACAAAAATCATCTCTCTTTTCCGAAAAGTCTTCCTCTCATTTCCTTTCGGAAGGGAAGGAGAGGTCATCCCCCGTGTTTCCTGTCCGGTCGTGTATTTTGGTCAGCTTCTGTGTTTTTCCAGCCTCTCGAGCCGATGCAATCTGTTGACCACATGTGCATGTGTCACTTTAGGAGTTCCTGGCTGACCACGCCTACAGGCTTCCTTATTTCTTTCTTTCTCCTTTCTTGCATTTTTCTCTCTTCTCTCCCCTTTGAGGGCATCTTCAGTCAGCGCCCACAAGAGGGGGATTTGGCTCGAACGGCCCCCCATAGTCCCCACAGTCACCTGCCGTTATGAGCCGTCCGGTTACCTGGCATGTGTCAGATTTTGGCAGGAGTATCAGTAAAGACAGAGGAGATAAGTATCGCGCCAGCCCACAAACGTGGACGGGGGGGGGGGACAGCTGCGGGAGTGGATAGAAAATGCGATAGAAAACCCGATGACCCAGTTAGTGATTTGCATGGAATAGAATAGTGATGTCAATTAGGAGCCTTGTCCACACAAGGGTCCAGCTTGACCGCTATCGGAAAATGACAGCTGGTCATTGGAAATGGAATGATCGGCGAGCCCGCTTTTCCCTGGTAGCCGCGAACATGGGAGTCCATGATGGTCCTTCCGTATCGAAAGCCAAAACTACTCCATTTAACATATGGTGCGTTAAAAGCAAATGTGCGGTGTTTACGATTTCCTTCTTGATTTCCGGCGGGGTAGACCTAATCCTACGGTAGTCGGTATGCCACGCTTTCGTTGAAAAGAGGAATGCTTTCTATTGTGAAGAGTCTAAAAAATATGTTCCCGCAGATGGAAACATTTTTCGGGGAAAAAGAGGGAAAAGGAAGGGGGGGGGGGGAAAGGAAAAAAAAATAGAAAGGGTTAGAAAAAGGGAGAGGAAAAAAAGAGGAAAGGGGGATTGAATGACCTCCCTTTTCTATCTCTGGGTATTTTTTTGGCCCCCTCCTTTGTTTGCTCCGCTTCTTAGAGGATGTTGTTCTCTGCGAGAACCCTTGCCCAGCATATGCGTCTATTTCCAGTCTTGTTTTTCCGCCTGACTCAATGAGTGACAGTAAACCAGGTGCCAACACCAAGACGTCACCGTCTCTCCTGGGGAATTCCAGCTTCTTCCCGACCGACGTGCAATCCGATGACACCGTGGAGAGACAAAACGCTGAAAAACAAAGATCCTTGTTTTTCTTGTCCTTTTTTTGAACATTCTGAGTTGTGTCAATCATCTTCCTGGAGTATGCATCTGCCTTTGTTGTCGCTGGTTTTAAATTTGGAGAGTGGGGTCAGTGGCTGAATGTCAGCTGAATATAGCGCAACGGAGGGCGTGGGCGGCTGGGAAAGGGGTGGGGTTGTAAGGGGTGGATACGGGAAGTGTATGCGAGAAAAAAAAGGGGGTGGAGGCAATATTATATCGTAATGGACCCGAAGGGTTGAGAGGCTGGCCAAAGTTACAGGTGTGTTTTTGAAACAAAATAACGTCGTGCAGCCGGCTTGTTTTTCCTCCAGATGTACAGTATGACTGCCATGCTGCTACGCCCATTAGGATCCGGTCACCGGATGATGAAGTGAACCCTGACTTCATGATTCTGATATTGCAGGTCGGCGTCGGAGTTGGAGTCGAGAATGAGCTTTGGGTCAGCGACGGCAGCCATCCAAGTGTCCCAGCCCACCCCGGCCATCGAGCCTTCATCTGCACCAACCATCAGTTATGAAGGCCGGGTCTCGGTGTTACCTCCGGGTTCCCTCGTCCGAGATGTGGACCTCAATCAAGTGTTCAACATGGAGAAGTTCGCCTTCAATTTCACGGTCTCCAAGGCAACGACGACGACAACGACCACGATGTCTTCCACCGGCCTCCCGCCGCTATACACTCCCTCGGCCAGTCCGATTCAGGCAATAACTACAACAGGAAGTACCTTATACTTGGGGGATTCATCCCCCCGCGAGAAAGGGTCTCCTTCCAGCGACACTCAGGGTAATCCTCATAGCCATACACCTAGTCCGAAGGGTGACACTTCCGGTGGAGAGATGATGGACGAAGACAGATCCACGCTTTCCAATGACTCCATTCAGCAGATGAACGAAATCATGAAGCCCCAGGAAGATCCCAAGTGCAGACATTGCGATTTCACATGCAGAGAGGAAGAAGAACTTCGAGATCACCTTCGAGACGTGCATGGAAGTCAATTCGAAGATGACGAGGACATGGAAGAGATCCGAGTCCCGAAGGTCAATTCTCAAGGAAAGGTTAAGACATTCAAATGCAAGCAATGTGGCTACACTGCCATCACAAAGGTGGCCTTCTGGCACCATTCCCGTGTTCATATCAAGTCAGAAAAATTGCTCACCTGTCCCAAATGCCCATTCGTCACAGAATACAAGCACCATTTAGAATACCACCTCCGGAATCATTTTGGCAGCAAACCTTTCAAATGCGACCAATGTCCTTATACCTGCGTCAACAAGTCCATGTTGAACTCTCACATGAAGAGTCACTCCAATGTTTATCAGTATCGATGTTCAGATTGCACGTATGCCACTAAGTACTGCCATAGCTTGAAATTGCACCTCCGAAAATACGGTCATAAACCTGATATGGTCCTGAATTACGACGGTTCGCCGAATCCAATGCCGATTATCGATGTCTATGGAAGCCGTCGAGGACCCAAAGTGAAGAAAGAGGATAAGCTTTCTCCGGGACCGTCTCCTCCGAGTCGAGTTTACAAGGGGCCGGTTCCATTTCCTCCATTGGGTTTCCTGGATCCGATTTTGCCAGAGCCGGGGAAGATGATCCAGGTACAGGATTTCTCTGAAGGATTGGGAAAGCCTTCTCCCATCCTTGCCAGGAATGTACTGAGATGCAACCTTTGCGAGTTTCACACTTCCGATCGGGGACAATTCTCACAGCATCTTCTCATCCATGCCGCAGCCGAAGGATCAACGAACGGTGCAGACAGCCAGGGTTTAAGTTATCACACTAATTCCCCATCCCTTCACATTCCGGTCAAGTACGGGAACCAATCCATCGGCTTTCAAATGGACGACATCTCTGTCGTCCCAGCGCCAAAGCGGAGCCTGAGTCCATGCTGGAGCACTGACCAAACCCGGACGGAGGATCCGGCCTCGCACAGCCCCCTAGACTTGAGCAAGGAGTCGAAAAACGTCCAGCAAGAGCCTGCATCACCCTCTCCAAAGAATCGGCGGAAGGGGAAGGCGAAGAAGCTGGAGAGAATTGCCTGGAAGCTCCAGGAACAAAGGCTGGAGGACGAAGACTCCGTGCCTTCCCCGGAACTCCCGGAAAGACCCAAGAGTTGTCCCAAAGAAGAACCCAAACCCAAGACCAAGCCTCCAGAAATCTACACGTGTCAGTATTGCGACATGGCTTTCAAGGAGGTCCTCATGTACACCTTGCATATGGGCTATCATGGTTACCAAAATCCTTTCAAATGTAACATGTGCGGGCAGGAGACGGACGACAAGGTTTCCTTCTTCATCCATATCGCTCGATCCCCTCACACTTGACGGTCATGCGTCTTCTGACTGTGATGAAACCCTTTTTCTGGATGCATCCAAGCCATATGCGAGAAGTTCTAGTCTGTTTTGGTTCCTTGCCTCTCGACCAACCGTGTTTCTTCTACTTCTTTCATCCGCCCAGTGTATCTCCCGTTGACTGGACCTCAGTGTATGATCTCTTTTTGCCCGAATGTGACTGAATGTGGACGTGCTTGGCTTTCTCTAGTTGCTCAATTTCAACGACATATCCAAACTGGCCAAGTCTTTAATGTGATCTCGCCGTCGTCTCAGGGAAATCCATCGTACCAGAAACTCGTCCTCGCACGTCCCCAATGTTTTCTACGCTTCCTGTTGAACACAGTCGCTCGTTTTTTTTTTTGTCGTGTGTCGTTTAAAAAGGTGCTACAAGCATTGCAAAGATGTGAACTAGTCGTCAAGGGATCACTAGCCCGCCATCTTTCCTAGCACCCCCACAAGTCTTGTGTGAATACTTGGGGTCAATAAAATTAATCTTGTTTCCTATGAATTTCCAGTGTGCAATCTTCATTCTCTTAACACTCTTGGACAGAGGGAGCTGTTGGCGAGCGAGACAACAATGAAGTCACAGTCCATTTTGGGTCTCTATCACGCAACTATGCAAATGATGTTATCGAAGGTTGCACCGAAATTATTGACGGAAACAGATTTGTTTCCCTTCTTTCTGGGCAACCCGTCCAGCTCACGACCACCTACCACTCAGCTTCAGAGAAAATAAAGCACACACAAATACATACACTCAAACTAAGGTGCTGTGCAATTCGGGTTCTGTTTCTTTTTTCTCAACTTTCCTCCTCGCCTTTGGACTCCGGAGTTATTCTCGTATTTTTTTTTACATTGCAATTGGCCTTCAAATCCGGACCAGTCATCTTTTTTGAGCCAGACATGACGTTATCTCGAGGGGAAATGAACTAATTTGAGTTGAACCCATGGAGTATCTGGAGACGAAGCCTCCAGAGGGGGGGAGGGAACCACGGCCAGGGCAACGAGGCACATCCAGTTACGCAAGGCTGGAGGCAAGGTAAGCCATTACCACCTCCACCTTCTTAGCTCCATGCCGACAGATCTGAACAGATGGCGTGGATCCCAGCGATGACTGAACGATTTTATCTTGAGATGAACAATCATCTAACTCTTACGAAATCGCATATAGTCAACTCTTGAGAATTCCAACCTCTTTGACTCGAAGTTAATGCCTTTCCCGGTGAAAGCCTCATAAGGACAATGCATTTTTCCCCTCGAAGACTCGAACTGTGCTAAGACAAATTTCTCCATAACACTTAATTTATTGCTCTGCTTTTTCTATTTTCCCTGTACAAGTACAGAGACGAACTTTACAGCAATCTAACCCCACTTCTTGCAGCCCCGGTTGTCCCAAGAATGAGATGATTCATGTCTTCGGTTCCCATTCTGGTCAGTTGGAAAAGTGAAGGCTGTGATGAGTCACGAGGTCTTTGTGCCTGTAATTTATCAGTACTGCACCCTGCTGTCGACCAGTTAGTAGTGTTCGTGAACCGTAGTTTGCCCACCCCTGCTCTATACACTACAAAATTGTACATACATGTATACAGTATTACAAAACGTGTAATACCTCATTTTAGCATTCTCACTTGAAAAAGTAAGTCAGAAGAATTTGACTTTTTTTTAACGGCACCCTCACGTTCGACAATGTTTTCCAAATGCGCAATTGCGTCGAAAGTATTATGCCAAACTAGATGTGACCTTAACAAAGCTCTGCAAAATTTCAATCTCATTATATTGTAGTCATGGTTCGCCGTCAACCATGGCTACAATATAATGCGATTGAAATTGCGATTGGAAAGCATTGTCGAACGTGAGGGTGCCGTTAAAAAAAAAGCCAAATTCTTCTGACTGACTTTTTCAAGTGAGAATGCTAAAATGAGGTATTACACGTTTTGTAATACTGTATACATGTATGTACAATTTTGTAGTGTATAGAGCAGGGGTGGGCAAACTACGGCCCCTGGCTGAATGCTGCCCGCGGCAGCATTTCGAACGACCCGCCAGCTGTTCCCTCCCCTGCAGCAACGAAATGCGGCCCGCAGCGAGAGCTCAGACACTCATCCCAGCATGACTAAGTAGACCCTTCCAAGGGATCAAGTGTTACAGCTCCTTCCAACTATCCAGGCAACTGGCAGCGCACAGGCGGGCAAGGGATCTGTAGGCGCGACAGAAGGATATTTGCCGAGCTTGAAGATGATTGGGAGGACAACTAAACAGCTGTGGCCCGCGAAGTCTTATGTGGTTTCTCGTGAGGCCCACAGGCTAAAATGTTTGCCCACCCCTGGTATAGAGTCTAATAAACCTCCATAATTCGAATTTTCTGCAACTCGAATTTCCGTTGAACCACGAGTTTATCGAGAGCCGAGTATATTGTAATTAAAATTTAAAAAATTCGTAAGGGGAGGCTTGCATCTGAAAGCAATGTCCTTTACATGTTTTTAAAGAAAGATTTCTGAAAATAAAACTCCTTTAAAAGTTTCTTATTATTATTGGAACCTTGCAAGAGTAGTCGGAACCAGGCCGAGAGACTGCAATATTTCAATATTACAAAAAGATTATTTCGAGAACCAGTATACCTCGTTAATCTCAAGAGCATCTGCACTTTTCGCTTGAGCATGTGAATATCATGAAAATAGAATGAAGAAAAGAACCCAAAACGACGAGACTAACTAGAAAATTATGTCTCTCGTGTGTTTGCGGGAGGGTGGATTATCCCCACTGCTCTCTTCCATACGCGGTAGTGAATAGAGATTGCACGGAGAATACTGACATTTGCGTTTCTCCCTTTGAACATCCCCGACGGAGATGCATGCATTGGATGCACGCATCTCAGGAATCGTAAGTGCGATGGCAGTTCGGACAGTTTAGTCTTTCAACGCTTTCTTAACAACTTCCATGATCCATCCAGTGTGGTTGGAACGCAGATGCCCAAGGTAAAGGGAGTGAGGGGAGGTAGCCAGAGTCCATCACACAGGTATCGCATTAAAGTAAGTCAGAAACGTATTCGTACACTTTAATAACATAAAGTTTACGAGAGAAAAGTTCATGAGTTCATGCATGAGGTCAATATCAAAAGCATGAATTCAATCCAAATTCATTGTCCTCATTCCAGGAAAAAAAAAGTCTGAAGCAAGTGCATATTTCGTTCACGATCACAACTCACAAACGCCAGAGACGACCGAGTTTGTCTGCTTTAACTTATAATGCCAGTCCAAATTTTACCGCTGTCTTTCGCTGAAACACGATGCAATAGTTGGGAAAGTGCATTTCAGTGGTGTTCGACATTCCCCCCCCCCCCCCCCCCTTTTTTTTTTTTTTTTT